GACATTCTTTACATTCAGCCAGAATCCACCTAACATCAGCAATGATATCCCTGGTGCCACGGCCTTTTCTAAATCTGTCTTGAACTTCTGGCCGTTCCAATCAATGTACTGTTCAAGCCATTTTTGAATGATCTTCAGCAATGTTTTGCTTGCATGTGATGTTAATGATGTTGTTTGATAGTTTCCACATTGTGTTAGATCACCTTTCTTGGGAATGGTAACAAAAAGGTATCTCTTCCAATCAGTTGGCCAGACAACTGTCCTCCAAATTTTCTGACATGAACTGATGAGTGTATCCAGGGCTGCATCTGTTAGTTGAAACATGCCATTTGGTATCCCATCAATTCGTGGGGTCTTATTTTTTGCCAATACCTTTGATGAAGCTCCAACTTTGTCCTTCATTATCATGCTCCTATGATGCTTCCTGAAATTTTTCAGTGTTAATATTTCAGTTAAAATGTTTCAATATTGTGACTCAAAGCTTAACTTTAGTTGTTAGTTCTCTCAATTTGAGAAGTGCCCAGAAAGTTCTTCCCTTTTTATTTTCCAATTCCAGTTCTCTGCACATTCTATTATAATACTTTTCTTTATCTTCTCTAGCTTCCCTTTGGCACTAAGTAATGAAGTAGCACCCAGTAGGTATTAAGCTATTAAGACATCATATTTATTAAGTAGCTTGAGCCCACCTACTAAATAAGACCTACTGAAATTTTTTTTTGGCTAGAAGTGCTGAGAAAAAAAAAATAACAGAGACATAGGAGCTATTAACTAAGAGAGGGTGTGAACCTCTAGTCCAGTGATTACCATACAAGTTCTTTAAAAAGTTAACTTGGTCCCAGCAACAGTAGCAAAGCTCAATAGAGAGTAGCAAACAACAAATGCTGGAGAGGTTGTGGAGAGATTGGAACCCTTATTCACTGCTGGTGGGAGTGTAAAATGGTTCAACCACTGTGGAACGTGGTTTGGTGCTTTCTCAAAAAGTTGTAAATAGAAATGCCATTTGACCCATCAATTAAACTGCTGGGAATATACCCTAAAGAAATCAGAACTACCAAATGTATACTGCATTGAAATAATTGAGGGAGAGAACAATTTAAAAGGGATATATGATTAGGTATTATTGCCATGACAGGAGTCCAGAATGAAGACTGCATAGTGGAGTGGACTGACGGGGTAGGGATTGTCTAACAATGAAATAAATTTTTTTTAATTTTTTTTTTTTTTTACTATTCAAAGAGAAAAGCAAACTGGGGGGAAGGGGTGGGCAGGGAAGAACGTGCAACAATGAATGAATGGAAATTCAAAGTCTGTAAACTTTCATTAAAATTAATAATAAAAAATACTATAACAATTTTTAAAAAAGAAAAAAGGTAACTTTGTGATCTTCTTGAAAAGGGGCAGAGAAACCCACCACAATCCCCCTCAGGAATGTCATTGTGTGTGGGGTGGAGAAATTAGGCAGGTGTACGGGCAAGAGAAGGATTGGTTACTGTTGAGTAGACTACATATAATTCGTGGGGACTTTATGTGTAAAAGAATGAAACATTGCCTGATTGTATGCCATATTCATGACCTTTAGAACAATGCGAATCCCATGAACTTGTATGTATGTTTTTTTTTTTAATATTTTCTACCGGTTAACTTACAAATTTCACATACACTATCTTTCACATTGAATCTTTCCCTCTCCCCAACCCATCCCTCCCTCTACCCATGAAAATCTGTGACCCTCTGATTAAGCACCACCCCCTTGGATACTTATACTCGTTTTACAGTAATGGTCTTATACAGTATTTGTATTTTTTAATTTATTTTTAAATTTTTAAAAAATTTTATTATTTTTGTGTGAGTGTACTGTCAAATCAGATCTGACTGGTACAGGAGGAGATTGTCCTTCCTTCCCCAGTAGAGCATCTGGTGGATTCGAACCGTGCGCCTCTGGGATTGTAGTTGCAGCTCCTTACCACTAGGCCACCAGAGCTCCCCTACAGTATTTGTCTTTATGAGACTGAGTTCACTTAGCATAGTGCTCTCCAATCCCTCCCATGTTAGATAGTAAATTATGAGAAAAGGAGAACTGAGGCACAGACAGAGACTTAAACAGCAATGTTCATAGCGGCATTATTCACCATCACAAGAACATAGAAACAGCCCAGAGGTGCAACCACAATGGAATGTACTGAGAAATTATGATACATTCATATAATGGAATACAGTGCAGCACTCAGGAGCAACGATTTTATATGTATGTTTGAGTTCACTATTGTAGCTATTGCTTCACTCCATTCCACTGATGGTTCCCTAATTTTTGCTAACTCTCCTTTATCAAAGATGATGTAAAGAAACAAGGTATATTGAGCTAGTTACTCATGACTTGAAAACTACCTGGCCTAGTATGAAAAAATCCCCCAAACTACCTACCCTTTTTTCTGGTAAACTCTGTGTGTGTGTGTGTGTGTGTGTGTTTAATTGAATTTGAATGCCTTTAGATGAAGTGTTTCTGCAATGGCACAGACTTTATTATTCCCTATTGTTACACTTGTTCTGTCTCAAACTTTGGATTATTTACCTTGCTCAAGAAACCATGTGAGTTACTCCTTTTGTGAAGAGACAAACATCAAAGTAAATTGATTAAGTGATCTGAGCTCAGATCACATTTTTAACCCTCTTCTCTGCATTCCCCACTCCAGCTATCCTCTGCTTAATGGCAGGGGTTCTGTTTCTTGTAAAACGAGGCAACATCAATCATGGTGATGACTCCTCTTTCCAGGAGTTTGCATGCAGAGGTGATGGATGTATCTCAGCCCTTAAGGAACTTAGGAAGCTGTGAGGGAGATGAACATGTGGACCACCATTAAGGACACATGTGATAGGTCACAGCAATCATTGGTTTGTGAGGTCATGTGGACTGAGAAGAGTCACTATCTCAAGATTTTAGGGAGAGAAGTGGTCAACTACAAAGTGATTCCCTTTTCCATATCTCTCACTGTTAAACAGTAGAAGAAAAAACAACCCTTTTAAAACAACAAACTGGTAAAGATACCCAGTTAGACATTTTAGATAACCTAATTATCTAGAAAGCCAGAAAAATTTGTGCTATATTTCCAAGGTTCTTTAAAACAAGGCTCTACAGAACAAGAACCTGCTCTGTGTGGGTGGCACAACCTTGTTTGCTACAAGTGAGGAGGTTTTGAAGTATTTCCTGCAAAAGATTAAAGACTTTGATATGGATTACACTGCAACATCAAGACAATACAAATCCTTACATCTGGACCAATAGGTTGAGAGAAGACTGGAGGAATCAACAATTTAATTACTTGAATGCACAAAAAGCACTTAACACCAATCAAGTAATCAGCAGATGTGTTATACTGGGAAAATTTTCTGTCCCCTCTCCAAAATGCTGAAAAGCAATCTTGTTTATGATGATGATGATGATGATGATGATGAGCTGTTGAGTTGAGCATAACTCATAATGACCTCAATAAAGAATAGATCTGAACTCTGTCATATCCTGTGCCAAACTCACAATCTCTGGCACACTCGAGTCCACATTGCTGTGGTCACTGTGTCGCTGTCTGTTCATCGGCAACCTACAGTGACAACCTGATGGGAGTAAGCACGATGGAGATACACCACTCTGGGAGAGGATCAGAGAGTCAATTCAGCTCAATTTTATTGGGACTGCAGTGCACTTATATACAAACATGTAAACAGGAAGACAGAGTAGGGTGGGCTTACAGACATGGGCCATGTGTATTGGTTAGGAGAACCTCAGCCTCGTGGGGACCATTCCCAGCTCAACAGACGCGGCAGCCGTCTTCCCAGGTGGCGAGCTTTCTCAAGTCACAGGGGAACTTTCTCTACCCTATATTAAAGGCTGTTGTGAGGCTTGCACTTATTTGGAGCTCAGGTGATCTGTCCAGGCCAGAGACCCTACCTCCTCCCCAACATCCCACAACACACCTGGTTGAGGACTTCCTCTCCTTTGCCATTCCTCCACCTTTTCAAGCATAATGTTTGTTGTCAGGCACCATCAAATGGACTGGAACTCATAACAACTCGGTAAATAATAGATCTGAACTTTGCCCTGTTTTGCACTATTCTCATCATCTCTGTGCAACGAGGGTGCCCCTTAGAGGCAAGAATGGAGAAGCTTCCTTTTACATAGTTTGTGCCTGTTTTCAGGAGGAGATCGTCCTTGGAAACCCCATCCTGAAAAATGGGCAGGGTCAGAGAAAGAGAGGAAGCCCCTCAACAAGACAGATTGACAGTGATTGTACCAGTGGGCACGAGAATATCAGACACGGTGAGGATGGCAAGGTTCAGATTCATAGGGTCACTATGTATGTAGTTGGCTCAATGGCACCTCATAACTACAGCAACAACAACCAAACAGGGAAGTTTCTAAGTGGAGGAAAAACTTGATGATTTGTAATCACTCATCTGCACTGTGGAAGAAAGGCCTAGTGATCTACTTCTATAAAGATTAGCCATAAGGAAACCATAAGGAGCTGTTCTACTCTGTAAAAAGGTTGGTCTGAATGAGACTTGATTTGATAAAATTGGGTTTGGATTTTCATTTGTTTGGCTGTTTTAATGGAAGAGGAAACCCCACAGCTTTCATATAGCAGAAAAGCATCCATGTGCCAGTGTCTCTGACTCTGGACCCACGGGCCCTCCTGGAGGGATGGTGCAGGCCCATCATGCATCCTGGTCCTTTCCTCATGTATTCTTGTTCCATTCTCGGTGCATTACTTCCTTCTTTGGGATCCACAGTCTTAGGTGCTTGCAACTGTTTTTCTATGGGGCTGCACTCTTTTATATTTTATAAAATCAATATAACTAGAGTATGGGGTGGATGCAAAATTTTCATGTGTTGCATTGTACTCTGTGAGGCACACTTGAGTGGGAGGCCTGAGGATCATGTTGGGAATTGAGGACAGGGCCAGACCTGTGTTTACAGCTATCTGTAGGTCACTGTATTTTTGTCTGCTCAGGTTACAGGTACTCTTCTGGAAGAGACAACTCAGAAGTGGGCTCAGTACAAAGAGAAGTGTCTAAAAGATTTACTCCAGGAGCCTCCTGGTAAGCATGCGTATTAGTTCTCTCCGTCAAATCACAGACTGCCCCCAAACTTAGCAGCTTGCCACAACAATAACTATTTATTGTCTCTCACGGTTTCTGTGGGTTGGGAATTCAGACAAGACACATGGGCATCCTCATTGAGACAGTACCTTATTGATGCTCACATGCTGGCTGGTTGACCTAGCTGTCAGGTGAGAGTCTAGCTGGGACTGTTGCCTGGAAAGTCTCCACGTGGACTCCGCACACGTTTTTCTCACAGCGTGGTGGGGTCCCAAGAGCAAGCATCACTAGAGGACATGTTGTCTTCAATGGCCAACTGTTAGCTGCATGATGCCATCTCTGAGATGTTCAGTGACTAAAAATGTTAGAAAGGTCTACCCAAGTTGAAAGGGAGGGACCATAGGCCTTCACTTTTTATTCTAAAATAGAACATGTAAGATGTGATGTATATTGATGTCATCATCTTGATCAAAAACAAAAACACAGCAACAAGAATCTGCCATGGCGCACACACATGATGTGAAGAGCTGCTGTGAATTAATTTGGGATTCTTTTGAAGGGTACAGGAACTCCAGTGGTGTTGTCCATCATGTGTTGCAATGTGAACAAAAGGCGTCGCAACTTTGGCAGTTTGAATACAACAGTGGCTCTGAGGGCGAAAAATGGGCATTCTGCTCTGGAGGAAATCATGCAGTGAATGAATTATTATTATTTTTTTAAAAAGCAAACTTGGGTGGGGGTAAGGAGGAAAATGTGCAGCAAATAATGAATGGAAATCCAAATTTTCTGTAAACTTTGGTTATAATCACAATAAAAAATGAAATATAAATATAGATATATAGATATAGATGATATATAGATATAGATGTAGATGTAGATATAGATGGAAATGGATATTGTGAATATGAATACGAATATGAATACAAATACAAATACAAATATAAACATAAACATAAATATAAATATAAATATAAATATAAATATAAATATAAATATAAATATAAATATAAATATAAATATAAAAGACTAAGCGCTCCAGCAGCCAGGAAATTAAAAGGCACATTGCCATGGGAAAGCCTGCTGTTAGGGACCTCTCCAGAGTACTGAAGAGCAATGGTGTCTCTCTGGAGACTAAGGTGCGTCTGATACAGGCCATGGTCTTCGCAATCACTTGTTATGCATCAGAGAGTTGGACAATAACCAAGGAGGATAGAAGGAGAATTGATGCCTTTGAGCTGTGGTGCTGGAGAAGAGTATTGAGAATACCATGGACTGCTAGGAAAACAAACAGATTTGTCCTGGAAAGGGTTAAACCGGGTGGCTCCTTGGAGGCAAGGATTCTGAGGCTCCGTCTAACATACTTTGGACATGTTGTGAGGAGAGACCGGTCCTTGGAGAGGGACATCATGCTTGGGAGGGTGGAGGGACAGCGCAGGAGAGGAAGGCCCTCTATGAGGTGGATTGATTCAGTGACTGGGATAATTGGGATGGGAGTGTCGGAGACAGTGCGATTGACACAGGACAGAGCGGAGTATAGGGCTGTTATACATAGGGTCGCTATGAGTCGCAAGCGACTCGACGGCACATAACAACAACAACAACAACAACAACAACAAGAGCTCCAGAAACCTGTTGAAGGATTGCTATGACCAGAACCAAAGTGAAGACAATGAGGGTTTTGTTCTTGTTGAAAGGGAAGGAGACGTGGAAGTGCAGTGGTCAAGCTGGCCAGCATGTTAGTCTCTGTAAAGTTTCATTAAAATTAATAATAATAATAATAATAAGACAACAGCCTCCCACTTTGGAAGTACTAGTTTTTGAGGTTAGAGCTAGGCAGGTTCTTTTCATCTGGAGCCATCCCATTGGCAGCTCAGCCAGCACCATCACACCCGTGATGTTTTCACACCTGACAGCCAGACTTTTAAAGTGTCTCAAGTCAGCTCATAACCTACCAGTTCTGTGTTTGCAGGGTTTGGATGCCAATTATTTGGCTGTTCACTCCAAATAGCCCCTGAGTTCTACCCTAATAGGGAGCAGATGGTGGAATGAGGCTTGCTCTAGGGGTCAAAGATTGACAAATATGAACGAATGTTTGAGACATAGCCTGAGCGAAGTCCTTCATTTGATTTTTGAGAGCCTGTAAGGCTTGGTTTTATGTTTGTCATTCCCTAGTGTCAAGTTCTAGCTATAATACACCCACTGAGCTTGACATATTATTTGAATATTTCCTAATGGACATTGTTGTTGTTGTTTTGTGTCTTTGAGTCAACCATGACTCATAGCGACCCTGTGTACAATAGCTCTGAGCCCAGCCCTATCCTACGCCAATCTTTCTGAGTCTGACAACACCTAATCCCATTGCCCCAGTTAATCCATCTCATCCAGGGTTTTCCTTTCCTGACCTCTACCCATCTAAGCATGATATCTTTCTCCAAGGACTTGTCTCTCCTGGCCACATGCCCAAAGTATGTGAGATGGAGCTTCAGAGTCCGAGCCTTCAAGGAGAAACTTGGTTTTAACCTCTCCAAGACAGACCTATTTGTTTTCTTGGTGGTCCATGGTATGTTCAAGACTCTTCCCTAGCATTACAACGTAAAGGCATTGATTCTTCTGTCATCCTAGGTCATTAGTGGACATTAGATTACCCTATTTTTATGAAAATAACACATGCTTACTATTTGTTTGCCAACTACCCTTTCCCTTTTGGAGATATTTTTGCAAATGTAAAATGCTAATTTTAAATATATATGTAAAAAACCCCTAAGTATAGCAGTTATTGGAGGCAGGGAGCAGTTGACAAACAAATGTAGAAGGCATGCATGATTCAGGTAATTCTAATATTCTTCAAATGAAGAAATGTGACTATAAATTTCTTGTTTTGGATATATGTGTCTATAATCCTTCACAATTCCACAGGTTGTCTCAGGTCCACCAGTTGTGTATGTTTCACAGAGTGAAGCCTCTCTGGGATCTCGTTGGTGAAAATTTAGTAACTATTTAGTTTCCTGTGGAACAGAAGGCCACTGGCTGAACCTTCAAGTGTTCTCCTGAACCCAAGTTTCTGTGAGAGTTCAGGCCATATAAAATAAACTGAAGTCAGTGTGACGTACCCATTGACATAATTGACTGGACCACAGCCAGAGGTCACAGAGCAGACAGAGCCTCAAGATTTGGGGTTGTGTTAAGCATTCTTGTTCTGCCTCCTTTTACTTTCTCATCCCTGACCCATCTGGTCTCTCTCTGCACAGGTCCCATCAGCTCCCAATGCTGGGGAGGTGGGCTCTGGGCCCTTGGTAGCTTTTTCCTGCTTCCATGAGTCTTATGCTCAAGCACTGCTCCTCACTTGGACCCCTTTTCTCTCTGCAGAGGAGTCCTTTAGGTGGTGCAAGAGGTTAATGTGTTGGGAGCTCTGGTGGCTTAGTGGTAAGGAGTTGTGCTGCCGACCCAAAGGTACTTGGTTTGAAGCCACCAGCTGCTCTGTGGGAGAAAGATGGACAATCAATTCCTGTGCTAATTACTGCATCTGAAATCCCAACAGAGGGTCAGCGATTAGTTGATTCGGACATGATGGTACATAACAACTAGTTTAAAGATTGGTGGTTTGAACCTACTCAGAAGACAAAGCCTTGGATGTCTGCTTCCAGAATATCACAACTACTGAAAATCAGTGGAGAACAGTTCAGCTCTGCACACAAGGGGCTGAAACAAGTTGTAGACAATTCCATGGCAACTGGTTGGTTTGCTTGATTGCTTGTTTTTTCTCTCTTTCCTCTTGCAGGTTTGTTTTGTCATGGGACATTTGATAGGTATGCATGCTGGCCTCATTCTTCTCCAGGAAATGTCTCTGTTCCCTGTCCTTCATATTTACCTTGGTGGCGTGAAGGTAAGAAGAACATATTTTACCATTTTCCAGAAGTTCCTTTTCTGGTCCCTCCTGGTAAACCAACCAGGGTTCTGCTTCTCCTTGCAAAACGTTTTCTTCTACACTTTCAGTAATATATCTTCCTTCTTTCCTCTGCCTCTCTTGTCTTCTGAGAATCTATTATTGTGTGCTCCGTTTATACATAAGCTCTTTGATTTTAAGACAGAGTCCAGTTTCTACTACTGTGGACTTTGGCTGCAAGAATTCATCACTGGATTGGAGAGGAAAAGCAGGTGGAGAAGAAAGGTTGGAATGCTTATGACCATGCAAATTTTATTTGTAACATGAGCAAAATAGATTTGAAATGACTCTTTATTTTCATTTTATAGATTTTTTTAATTTAGAAAATGTAGTGGTATTGTCAAACTGCAAGGAAAGGGGAACCATAGGATTTAGAGGAACTCGAAGACACAGGAACATAAGAGTAGGGGAACTAAAGGGGAAAGGACCTGTGTGTAGAGGGAATTGGGGAAGTAGACCACCAGGGCTTTGACAGGTGGTATGGCAAGGATTCCCCTGGGTCCTATGTGCCCACAGATTCATGCACGATGTGGTCTGGACCCACTGCACACACGTGGTCACCTACCTGCCTTCAGTGCAAGCAAAGAGGATGCCCAGCCCGACCCTCCCCACCTGTCAAGGCTTAACACTACCCTTAAATAGAAAGCTTAACACATTTGGCTGCTAACTGAAAGGTGGAGATTAAAGTCCACTCAGAGCACCTTGGAAGGAAGACATGATGGTCTGCTTCTGAAAGATCAACCATTGAAAATCCTATGAGCAGTTCCACTCTCTCACACATGAAGTAACACTGAGTAGGAATCAATTTGGGGAGCTCTGGTGGCCTAGTGGCAAGAAGCTGCACTGCAATCCCAGAGGAACACGGTTCGAGTCCACCAGATACTCTGCCGGAGAAGGAGGCGCAATATCCTCCTGTACCAGTCAGATCTGATTTGACGGTACATGCACATAAAATAAAAAAATAAAAAAAAATTTAAAAAATTAAAAGGAATCAATTTGATGGCAGCTGGATTTTTATAAGCATAGGAAAGCAGTACTGTTGAATTTGTGTTTGTCAACCTCATTGCACTTGGATTGAGAATTTCAGGGCCAAGAGGATGGAGGTGAGATCCTAGACCTTCTATTTTTACTCTCGGTATTTTAATTTTGATTAGGGGAAATTAGACATAATAAAACATTTGTTATCTTAATATTTTAAAGTGCCATTAGCTACATTCTCCATGTTATGAAAAATCATCACCATTGTGCTCAGATGTTTTTCATCCAGTGGTGGTCTGGTGGTGGAATCTGCCTTTCATGTGGGGGTCTCATGTTCAATTTCCAGCTAATGTTCATCACAGCCATCTGCACAGCCATTACTCATCAGTCAGTGGAGGCTTGTGCATCGCTACGATGTTGAATAGGTTTCAGCAGAGCTTCTGAATTAAGGTGGGGTAGGAATAAAGGTTTGGCACTCTCTGTAAATAAGCCAGTAAATTACAGCGGTCTTATTCTGTTATATACGGGATTGGTATGAATTGGAGGCTGACTTAATGGCAGCTAACATTTTGCATTAGTTGTTGTTGTTAAATGCTGTTGAGTTGCAGGCGACTCACAGTGACCCATAGCGACCCTATGAATGAAAGTCCTGGACACCTCCTGTATAACTTTTGTCCTTTCTCCTGGTTCATAGGGTTTCCAGAGGCAAGCTATTGTGGAAGTGGATGCCACTCCTGCTTCCAAACTAGTTTTTAATTGGGGAACTTCACCAAACACTGTCCACCATGAGTAACCGTTCTCGCATATGACTCATCAGTGTCACTGTGTCCGGCTTCACAGTGACCACGAGTTACCTCTAATATTTGTCTGTAGAGGTTCCCTCCTCACCCAAAGTTCAAGCCTCTCTAAAGGCTCACATCCACCAGTGGCTCCAAGGAAGAGCAATGAACATTCTCTTCTTGTGCAATTTACAGCCTTGAAGGGTCACCCATAAGTTGATTCTGACTCAATGGTAGTGAGTTGTAGGTTTGATTTATTTGTTTGTTTGTGGTTCCCCCCCCAAATTTCACTCAGCATGATTTTAGGGTTCATGAATGTTATGTAGTTTGTATCATGACTTAATTTCTCATTTTTTTGGCTAAATAATACTTAAATGTATGGCTACACCATGTTTTGTTTGTACACTGATAGACAAGATATTTTGACCTCTTGGTTATTTTTGCACCTTATGTATTGTGCACAGTGAACACTGATGTACATGTGTCTGTTTGAGTTCCTGCTTGTACCCAGAAACGCTTGGCAAGTTCTGTAGCCCTTTGAACTGTAGTTTCCTCATTTCTAATGAGAAGAGAATAATAGCTAGCACTTAAGATTATTTTAAACGTTCTTTTCTGGTGCCAATTTCAACTAATGAATGCAACATTGAGAGCACTGACTGGTCTACTCCAGGAAATTTGGAGGATAGCTGCCTGGCCGGCTGACTGGAATAAATCCATATTTGTTCCCATTCCAAGTAAATTTTATTTAACAGAATGTAGAAATTACACTAGGCCACCAGAGCTCCCTGTCAAACGCTATCATATGCAAATAAAGTTTTACTGAAGAAAATTTAAAAATGCTTGTTGCAGTACGTCAACAGAAAAATTCAAACTTGATTCAGAAGAAGACCTGAAATAAGAATGCTGCGGTTGTCAGATGGATCTTAGTTTAAAATAGAGAGCATCATAAAGGTGCTTACAAATGAATTGTTGACTATGGGTAGGCATTCAATGGTGTAGCATAGACAATTCTGCTCAACATTAAAAAGAATGAGAATTCCATAGTACTTAATTGTCTCATGTGGAATCTTTTTATAGAAAAGAAAGTAGTCACTGAGATACAGAAGTAGATAATACTCTATCATTTAATATCAGAAAATGTGTGTGCCAGGGTTGTTTCTTTTCATTCTGCATATTCAGCTGGTGTGCTGAGCAAATAATGAGAAACTGGACTGGATGAAAAAGAATGCAACATCAAGATTGAAGGAAACCTCAATAATCTGCAATATGTAGATGACATAGCCTTGCTTGCGAAGCAAAAAAAAAGCTTTCTGATCAAAGTAAAAGACTACATCCCTCAGTATGAGTCAACAAAACCTTACAGTTTCACTGATCAACAATGTAAGTGGGTGACACAATGTTTTCTCTGTAATAAATGGGGAATAGCTTGAAGCATTCAAGGATTTTGTTATACTTGGATCTAGAGTTAAATGGAGTCATCGTGGAAGCAGCAGTCAAGAAATCAAATGCTGTTTTACACTGAGCAATTCTGGTGAAGAGATTTGTTGAGTAAAAAAGTAAAGATTGGGGAAAAGCAAAGATGATTCTTTGAGTATCAAGATGTACCTGACTATGCTAAGAAATTTGGAAGAAAGTTACTGTTTAGTAGCTAACTGTTGCATCCCCCAGTGTAAAAACAGTGTATCAGACAGAAGAGTGGCAGGGCTTGACTTAGACTAAAAGCTACCTGGCCAACTAACTGGAAGACATTCATATTTGTTCCCATTTCCGAAAAGATGAACCAGCAGAATGTGAAAGTTATTTGACAACATCATTAATATCACATGTAAGCAAAATATTGCTTGGAGATCATCCAAAAATGGCTAGAACAACACCTAGATAGAGAACTACTAAAAGTTCAAGCTGAGTTTAGAAGAGGCCATGGCATCAGGGATGGATCCTAGCTGAAAGCAGAGAACCAAAAGAATGCCTAGAGTGTGTGGATCAGAACAAACTATCGTTAACATCAAGAAGAATGTAAATTACAGAGCACTTAATCATATTCATGCAGAGCCTATACATAGACCAAAAAGCTGTTTATTGAGCAGAGCAAGGAACACTGTATAGTTTAAGAAAGAACTATTCAAACTATATGCTGAGAAAATCACTTGAGAAGCTGCACTTTATGATGAGGACTACGGGATTAGGACTGGAGGAAAACTCATCAATAACCTGCATTATACAGATGGCTTTCTTGTTTGCAGAAAGTGAGGAAGACTTGAAGTGCTTGCTGCTGAAGATCAAAGACTACAGCCTTCCTTTGATATGGTTTACATATCAACATCAAGAAAACAAAAATCTTCACCCCTGGGCCAGTAGGCAACATCATAATAGATGGAAAAAAGATTGAAATTGTTAGTGATTTCATCTTACTTGGATCCATAATCAATATCCTCAGTACCAGCAGTCAGGAACTTAGGAGACATATTGCATTGGGAAAGTCTGCTGTCAGGGATCTATCCAAAGTACTGAAGAGCAATGATACCAGTTTAAATACTAAGGTGTGTCTGATTCAGACTATGGTCTTTATAGTCATTTGCTTTGCATCTGAGAGCTGGACAGTGAATAAAAATGACAGAAAAAGAACCAATGCCTTTATGCTGTGCTGTTGGAGAAGAGTCTTGAATATCCCATGGACTGTCAAAAGAACAGATACGTTTTAGAGAAAGTGCAGCTGGAATGCTCATTAGAGGCAAGGATGGCAAAGCTTAATTTCCTATGTTTTCAGCAAATGACTTTTTCTTCTAAATGTTGTGTGACACTGAATTGAAACTGACCCATAGCAGACCTTCAAGGGAGAGGCTATTCTTTGAAGGACATCATGCTTGGAAAGGTGGAAGGTTAGCAAAAGAGAGAAGACCCTCAATAATATGGATTGGCACAGTGACTGCAACAGTGGGCTCAAGTATGTCAGGGATGATAAGGATGGCACAGGATAGGACAGATTTCAGATCTCCTGTCCATAGAGTCACTATGATTCATATTTGACTCAACAGCACCTAACAACAACAAAAACTTCACAAGGGGAAGAAGCCACATCTGTAGTACAATACTAATTCCTATATGGTCAGATATGCTTCCACGCTACACATTTCAATAAATTCCTACAGTTCTAACACCAACCATTCCTTTCATAGCACTCAT